GTAGTAGTAGTAGTAGTAGTAGTAGTAATAGTAGTCGTGGTGGTGGTGGTAGTAGTAGTAGTGGTAGTAGTTGTAGTAGTTGTAGTAGTAATAGTAACAGCGGCAGCACTAGTAGTACGTCGAAGTAGTCCCGGTGGTAGTAGTAGCAGTAGTCGCAGTAGTAGTCGTCGTAGTAGTAGCAGGAATCAGCAGGAGCACCCTCGCCGTCGTCGGAGTCGTGGTCGTCGTCGTGGGAGTTGTCGTCGTCGTCGTCGTAGTAGTAGTAGTAGTAGTAGGAGGAGGAGGAGGAGGAGGAGCATCTAGTAGTAACTCGTAGTAACTCGTAGTAAAACGTGGTGGTGGTGGTGGTGGTGGTGGTGGTGGTAGTGGTAGTAGTAGCAGCAGTAGCAGTAGCAGCAGCAGCAGCAGCAGTTGCACGGATTCCCTTCCCCCTTGCTGCCTCTGTCCCTTTGCCGAGGAACGGCGGCGGCGCTTTGACCTCCATCTACAGACGGCGAGAACTCGAAAACCTTAAAACCCCAATAAAGCCCTAACCGAACCGTGAGCGCAGGCAATTAAGCCGTTATGTCGAATCGAATCCTTGAGCCGGCAGTCCCGTGGCAGGCGAGCAGAGAGCCCCACTTGCACTAACCACACGCACACAGACTTTGACTCTTGCTTGGTCGGCAAATTCGGTACTGGGAGTCGGAACAAGAGCACTTGACACCACGTTGACCATACTGCCACGACCAGTAGTCATAGAAGCAAGAGCGAGAGAGAGCGAGAGAGAGAGGGAGTGGAAGAATAAAAGAGCGTGTCAAACCGAAATACGGCATTCCGCGCATCGAACTGGACATGGTTCGAACATCAACTCGACCACTCTGAAACAATCATATATAGAACCCAGGAGAACTGCATTCATTCACTTGCACATCATGGCCCGTGAAAACTGTCAGCAACATCGAAAATCAAGATGAGGCGGCAGGGTCGTAGATGCTCATCATGGTCAGCCAAGCATACAAGCCTAAATACCTACATTCCTCGCTCCTACATCCATCCATCCATCCATCCATGCATCCATGCCTGCATGCCTGCATACATGCCTGCAGACGCACATCATGATGTCACATCATGCACGCTTCGCCACTCAACTTCGGAAATTCATAGATGGGCTGCAACAAGACCGATGGATCTGAATTCGGCCCTGGCACCGCAGGGACCGCGGCCTCCTTGGCCGGCAGCTCTCCGCCTCGTTGAAGCTTAGGATTTATGCGTTTTTATTTTGTCTAGGGTTTAGGGGCCTGAACACGCCGGGTCAAAAAGAAACACCGACAAGTTGAAGGCCTCGACTAGCTCAAGGCGCATAGTCGCGGCTTGCGAGAAACTCGGATTCTCATCGTTCAACCACTCTGCACACGCACTCACCGCGACGATTCAGGTTGACCCGCTCGGGAGATGCTGGCATTGGCGATTCTTGAAAAAGCAATAATCCGGCGATCATGTGTTGCCACCCACCTATCAGGCCAACGAGACTCAGTCAACTCATCTCAACATATTGTGGAGCATGCTATTTTGAAGTCCGCGGCCGGTCTGGTAGAGACAAGCAGAGGATTCGGAGTAATTGTCCAGCTTTCAGGTTGAATGCCTGATGACAACTCCCCCAATCTGCAAATTTCAATCAGGTGTTCTATGAAATTCCTTGAACAAGAACTACGCCATACAACTCCACACAACTGCACTAAATAAGCTCGGCGTTGCATTGTGATATGGTCGGCGGTTCGTCCAGGGTCCTTGATTCTCCCTTCTTGCTCTTTCGTGTTGCGCTCTAGTCCGTCTATGTTCGGCAACAGGGCGCCGAGAGGGAGGTCGTTCTTCATGGAGAGATAACCCGGGAACGGTCAACGCTCGATTGTTTCTGTTGGAAACACAACTCCAAGAACCGCAAGCCGTGGACTTTATCGTTTGCCTGGCCTGGCCACAGCTAGGATCTTCTACAATGTCTCAAAACACATTGCAGAACTCTCCGTTTCTTTCCGCCCTCATCGAGCAACAAAACTTACGGCCTTGGCACTCGCAATGTTGGCGAACCAGCTGCTCGAGATGATGGACATGTGCTCTGCACATGACCAGGGTTCGGTGCAAACACCCCGAGCATCTATATACAAATGGTGGTGGCTGCTGGATGAAACTGAAGAGGCGGTCAACTGCTGCTCCCAGCACTGGGACCACGTTGGACCATCATAGGAGTTAAGCCACGCGTCCCCCCGCAAGCTTTGGCTCCGCCAGAGCTTAGGCCAGAAGTAGGGCTCAGACAGCTGGATCACGGCTGCCGGTGGATAGTCCGGAAAATCAACAGGCCTGCTGGCCATTGCCTGCATCAAGGGTTCCTGAAAAAGGGCCATCGTCAGGCGAAGCAATCCGGAAAACAGAGTCCAGAATGGAGTTGCGAGAAGTCGCAACGCCGCGAAGACGCCTCCAAAATCTTCGCAGTAATTACAGGCTGTCTGCCCGCAGTGGCTGCCATCAAACCCCAGCACCGCGAGCCTGTCGTACAAGTTGGAATAATCCAGCCAGAAGCGGCACGCAGTGAGGTGTCCTCGAGAGTGGCCGCCAACAACGATCTGCCAGGAGTCGCTGTCAGCATGCGTGGCCAGTTCTGCATTGACCACGTCCTGAGAATCGGGATGCAGAAAAACTAACGGTTTCAGGTTTCTGGGCACAAGATCAAGGCTCTTCCGGTCGGCTCCTTCATGGCTGCTGCATCACTTCGGAAGCTGGGAGCATGGCCTGCGCTGAAGCCGGTTCCCACTGGGTCGTAGATGCAAGCACGTGTGGCCTTTGCCAATTCATGCTGGACGAAGTAGAGCGTTCCCGGGGAGGCCAGGTAGCCCGGCTCCAAGACAACGAGGGACTTGTTTGGCTCGCCCAAGCACCAGTACGCGATGCCAGTCTCTGTGTATTCTGGCTTGGGGACGGTTGCAAGGTACATAAGCAAGCCGACTACCTGCCCAACTAGCGAGATGCCCAGGACAACTCCGCAACAGCCGCAACATATGCAGCAACATCGGTTCCGCTCTGAACTTCCTTGTGCGTCCTCTGGGCGAGCCGCAGAGCTAGCAGAGTCGATGCGTCCAGTTGAGAACGAGAAGAACTGGCAGGCCCACAAAGCAACAGCAACGACCATGAAGAACATGTCCGAGAATATGTCACCATCTGTGGCGGACAATGCGATAGCATAAACAAGGTATGTTATGAACACCAGGCAGGGCAGCATTAGAAGCACCATGTCCACGTAGGCGCGTCGTTTCGGCACAAAGTGGAAAAGCAACAGCTCACAGAGGCAGAGCAGTCCCCACGAGATGCTGTATTGTAGAAGGGCCAGTAGGAAAGAGAGAGCAAGCAGCATCAATGCTTGCAGTCGCCAGTCTCGCAGCCATCCCACGACTTTCGAGCTGAGGACCGCCATGGGCAAAACACGGTGAGGAAACTGAGGCCTCAAGGTCTCAAGACCTACCTCCTGAACCACAGCGAACGCAAACCGTTCCGAATCTTTTCATGCGGTTTCCCCGAAAGATCCACAAGGAGCGCTGTGAGGCCAACTGCACAGGCCTTCTGAGCTTGGCGAGCCGCCCGACGGCACCTGCCGCCCACCCCTTCCCTCCCACAGAGTACTTGCGTTCGCCAACTTCCGCACGAGGCAGCGATCAAAGAGAAATTTGGACGCAGGATGACCTCCGCGCCGTTGGCCTCTGGCTGCCGCGCGGTCCTCGGGCAATGTCAGATTCTACGGCCTTGCGCGGCTGAGCATGTCTAGAAATCAGAGCATGCTCCAGCGAAACTTACAAGAGCATGGGCTTCTCTAAACCTTTGCAGCTGCAAATCATGGAATTGAATCACTTGCATCAGGCAAGGATCGGGACAGGCGCTTTCGCATCCCCAGAGCCGTGCTCGTCGGCCTTTGATTGGCCGCGCATCCACAAGAAGCTTCACCCGTCGGACACGTGCCTTCACAACCCGGTCCTCAAGCAGCCATCGAAATTGCCAAGCTTCGAAGCATAGATCACCCCCAAACCTTCAGAAATCCCCTGCTTCTTGCTGAAAAGTTTTCACCTGGCATGAAACGCAGACCGTTCTGTCGACACCCTGGCGGTCGCCCCGGATAACTTTTTAGCCACAGTCTTGTTCTCCCGATTTGGACCATCCGCAGCTAGCGCACGTAGATGTAGGGAATCGAGCAGCCGATGACGCGACATACGCGATGCAAGTAAAGCAGTGGCGGCAGGCGAAAGACGAGGACGATGAGCGTGATGGTTGCTGACTTGTGTAAATATTCCTTGCTTTGAGTTGCCGGGCAGCAATGAACGTCGGCGGTGCCGTGGCTGATGGAGCTGCCGGCTCACTTACTGGTGGCCCATCGACCTGGATCACTGCAGGTGCCAACTTCAAGTCAGATATACATGCACATATGACATATGCATGCATGCAAGATGTATGCAGGGACGCGGGGACAGAGGGATGGAGGGAGGCCCAGCCGGGATGCAGGAACGGAGCTCACCCTTGCCAGCGCCCCGTGCCCTCTAACCTCCAAGAACCCGGCTCTGGATACTGTAAGGGTGCCAGGTCAAAACAGAACACAGCCTCCCACGAACTCAACACAAAAACCTAGAGCTGGCGAATTGTCCCCCGAGCCAGGAGTTGAGCAAATCACTTCCCCGGGCCTCTGGCAGAAAAGTATGAGTGAGACCCTCCAAGCTCACAAGCATCCCCCCCGCAGCCCTCAGTTTACTGTTCATTTCGGTTTTATGCTGTTGCCACGTGCTTTCGCGAACCCTCGCAGGTTGTGCAAGAGCTAGTGGAGGGCCGGGAACCTGACGGCCGGAGTCTGTGACCCAGAAGCACCTAGCTACGCCATGGTGGGTCCCATGCTGCCGGCTTATACAGGCGTACCGATTCAGGCAAGGCAGAAGGTCTGTATGTCACTCTGCTCGTGCACCAACGGCTAGCATCATTAGCATCCTTAGGATATTGAATACTGAAAGAACTGTCGCCCTTCTGGCATGCTACTGAAACGTTATCACTTTTCGTGTCTCGTGTGTTTGACTCGTCCTGGTCGATATTCATGCCACAGGGTGCAATGCAACACCCACGAACACGCCATTTAAGTGTTTGGAGTAACCTTGGACACGCAATTGAGGTCTGTCGGTAAATCTGACAGTACGATCCAATTTGGGAGGCACCTTCGCCTCCGGTGGATGGAGCGTCCGGCAGGGCTCAGTGGCGCCTGAGTCCTCCAGGGAATGCAGAATGGCAAGCGAACAAACATGCTGGGGAGACTGCGAACGACGTACTCAGGAATGTTCTAATCCCTAAATATTGCTAGAAATTTCAGAGATTCGGCATCAGGTTTGGAGGGGCGAAGGGGTGCCTGCAGGAGGACTCCTCGACGACCCGAAGTCAGAGAGAACACACACGCACTCCGTGGCACGTGTCTCCTCTGTCGTCAAGGTGGGCTCTGGTCTCTTTTCTTCCTTGCCACACTGCGGCTGTAGGCTGCTGACTTGCTAGTTGTGAACGTGAGACGGAGGTGGTGCCTTGCAAACCTGATGTCCTCGCGGTTTGGGAAGTGTGCGGAAGGTTTTCGACACTGGTTCGGACTGCTCCGGAGGAGGGTGCCAGTAATGAAAGCGGCTGCCGGCTGCCTATCCGAAGGAGGCTTCACTGGATTATGCCCAATTCTCCGGTTTGGGCCCAACCTGTGCAGCGTTGGACACTCCAGAATCCAGAAGCAAACGTACAATAGCCTGGCAGTTGCTTCAAGCGGGTGAGCTCGCACTTTGTGCAAAAACTGTTATGTCCTGGGTTGAGTTGACATTCTGTTCTATTCATATACAGTACAATGGCTTTGTGTACTGGAGACCGACTAATGTGCGGCCATGCTCACCGCCGGTGTGTCGGTGGACTCCGACATCTCTGCCGCAAACTCCTCACGTGTCACAGTACACACGAAGACAGTGAGAGATTCCTCTGTAATCATGTGTGCTCACAGTAGCATTCCGTGCTTGTGCATGTATGCAAATGCACCGATATGCATGCACAGCGCCATTGTCATTTACTGTGGCAAGCATAAGAAAGCTCGCATTACGCATCACATCATTGCACAGCATGAAAAAACTGTTTATTGTTTTTTAGCAAACGCACTCGAAGCTCAGGCGAGATTTAGGGAGGAAAGCAACAAACCAGGGGATGCTCGTTTCGAGCACCAGAGGCACATTTGCTTGAAAGCAGCACAAGAGTAGCCGAAAGCCATCCACAAACTCCGCGACATCCTCAACTATGTCACCTCCACTTCAAACCTCTCTCAGGATCCATTTGCGTGCCATCTGCCCCCTTCAGGGCTCACTGTCAAAGGCAAACCCAATTCTCAGGCATCTGTCAAGTTCCAACCACTCAGCCCGACACAAACAGGCGACAGCGGGGCACTGCAGGAACGTCTAGCTGCCCAGCTTCGTTGCTAGAGCTTCTCATGTCCCGAATTCACCGCAGTGACACCGCATCTGTGTTAAAGGTTCCCGCAGGAGACATCACTGCAGGATACGGCCTGCATCCAGAAGTCACCCTACAGCGACGCCCACTCGATAGTGCATCCAACCAAGGAGAAGCCGGCAAGCTTACCCTTTACCAATTTTGAGGGCCCCCATGGGCTGCAGACGCCTAGGGGCAGCACGTCGGTTTGCACAATGCCAGAACACCCTGTCAAGTCAGGTCAGCATCCGGTAATGCAACGTCCATCATGCCAGTTTGACATTCCTAGCTGCCCTGTCCCAGCTTGGTCTCTGAGGGCTTCCTCAATTGAGGCGTTTCCACAGCCCATAAGATGGGCCTGACGACGTCATGGCTTGCACTCCAAGGCAAGAAGCAGTGGTCCTGGATGTCAGGTTGGCTCTCACCCCACAAACCGAGTAGGCAGCTGGGAGCATCAAAAGTATCGCAGGACGAAGGAGCATTCACACATGTGGAGCAGGGGTTCAAAAAGCAGCACTGCCATCAAGAGGCAAGACAGGGAAAGAGACAAAGTCAGACAAAGGGCCCAAAAACAGCGGTGTATTAACACGTACACATTTACAAACACATGCACGCCTGCGCACGTACATAAATACATTCATGACATGCGTTGGTTGATGTGTCAGCCGTTAGCCACGTTATGCCACGTTTTCAGGAACAGCCTTTTGCCCACAGCTTCTTGCCCATGGCTCACAGAAGAGTACTGATATCCACCCACGCCTCCTTCGTGGCAGTGTGCTCTGCTGGAGTGTCCTCACTCCGGATGCATGAGGAGGGTGCATCCAAGGCGTGGCTTCAACTTTCTGCATGCTTTATGATACTGTCAACTACATCGGGCATCATGCATTCAGACTGTCAGCAAAATTCTTTCGCTGGGCGGCCACGAGGAAGGGCGGCGGTGCCTTCGCCGCCGGTTGCTTCTCCTAGGGCTTGCGACAAACTAGAAAGGTCCCAGAAACACCTCAACAGCAAGAAATTCGCAAGCCGGTGGAATCTCCGCTCTGGACTGGACAACTCACGCCTTCGCCGGCGGCTGCTTGGCTTCCGAGTCAGCCTCTGGTGCCTTTTGGGTCTGCATTTGACAAACTTCGCACAGCTACAACCGCCATGTGGTGCTTGCTCACATCTTCAAATTAAGCGCGCAGCAACAAGGAACGGCGGCGGTGCCTTTGTCGCCGGCTGCTTTACCGGCGGGCTGGCCGGCCTTGCCGGTGGCCTCTCCTCCTTGAAGAATGGCTCGAGATGTTCATATCTGTTAACCCAGCTGTGCAATCCAACAGCTAATGGAAAAACGATGGACACTTCAGTTTTATCTTTACATCCAGCAAACGTGGTTTTGTACAGCGTTCCTCCACCTACTGCAGTTCCGAACTCTCTTGCACCAAGTCACCAAGTGACTAAGTCTGTGCTTCTACCGACCAGCTTTTCCGGGGTCAAACGGTTACGAGGTTCGGGCACAGACACCCGATTCCAACACTTCGTTTCCTTGGCGCTATGACGTGGGGGTCTGGAGACCTGAAAACTTCCACATTCCTGCATTGCACCGGTTCCGAAAGTTGGGTTTTTCGCTTGGCGTCCTTCTTTTTTTCGTCTCCATGTCTGCAGCACAACAGGCCCCTGTCCCCTGAGAAACACACATACATGGAGTATGTTAGTAGCAAAATTCGGAAAGCCAGTTGGGGTCTTGCTGTGCAGGGCAATTTGCCCCGTTGCCTGACATCCGCTGACCCAAATCCTAACATTTATCTTCGATCTTTGGTTTGAAATATATAGTAAACTACACAAGTAGACGCATGCAACACACGTGGGGAAAGCTCAAGCTGTCGAACGGAAGCACAGCACTACAGTGCACAGGCTGACAGATGCAAAATGTCAGCTGCAGATCGGACAGCGATGCATCTCAGGCCCCCCTTCAGGAAGAAGCCAGAGCGCAAGTCTTACACGTACGACAAAACTGCTTGGCGCCAGCATCCAGCCGATCAGAAACAGAGAAACCTGTACTCAGCATGCGTCGACACAGCAGACGACCGCTGTCCTGTTTCAGAACATGCAGAAGACCACTCTGCTTGTTGGTGGCGACAGCGAAGCCACCGACCACCAAGAGCTTCTCAACGAAGCGAAGTGCAGAGGCCACAAGCTGCTCATCGACATCGTCATTGTCAGCAGAAGCCAGCGAAGAACCACTAGAACCACTAGCATCAGCAGGGTCAGCATCAGCAGCAGAACCACGCTCAGAACTGCGAGGCGGGGAGGAAACCACCGAGGCAGCAGGGGCCGGGCTGGAGGTTCCCGCCACCTCCCGCTGCGAGTCACATCAGGATGGAACTGACGCTTCTTCACAGGCACCACCACTTGAAGACGCTCACGAAGGGGGTCAGCTAAAGCGTCCCTGCGGTACCCAACATTAGCCATGTTGACGCCATGACTGTGGTCTCCCAGAAAAGTCAGAGACTTGTCAGAAAGACCTGGTTTTGCACCCCAACTGATCAGGGTGGCCTTGCAACTGTGACTACGTAGGCGCCCGATGGAAGCAAGATCAACATCAGGAGCACGCGAAAGACTGCTCCGAAGCCACATAGTCACTGACTACTGCTGACACAATCCTGCAGCCAAGTACCAGATGCAGACAGACCAGGTATAAGCGGCTGGTCAAGGGCACCAGAGCACGTCAGCCCATTGGCTTGACGAACAGCGAGAAGGGTGGCTCTCTAGGGTACCTCAGACAGTCCGGAGAACAGCGCAGTCAGAGGCAGAAACAGGTCGCTCCTAAAGGAGAGGCCACCCAGGGAAACACCTGGAACAACGGCCCATGAGGCACACAAGCCCAAAGCCCCCAAGGGCGGCCACAAGGCAAGAGAACAAAGACTAAAGACGACTAACGAACTGAGGCCCCGACCAGCACAGAAGTGGTACAAGCCTGCCAAGGCCCCCAGGCGCAGGAAGAAAGTCCACACACAAGGGCGGACCAACCGACTCGAGATCACCACCATGGAATTCGGACCTCAAGGTGAAAAAGCGCCAAGGGGAAAGCAAGATACTATCCAGGGCACAAGCCACGTGACCTCCAGGTCCAGAAAGCAAGAGCCACAAGGCAGGACCAGTGAAAAACAAACGCCCAGAAGCCCCAGCCGAGGCAGGACGACCCAAGGGACCTGGGCCCAAGCAAAGGGGAGCATCAGAAAAGAAGTGCAAGGAATCTCCACAAGGACGGCACAGACGGAGGGGCCAGAGAGCCTCAAGGCCAGGACCACAAGGCCGCCCAGACCCAGAACTAAGAGCCAGGAAGCAGCCGGCAGTAAACGTGTCAGCGCACAAGCAACCGACTGTCCATTCGAGAGAAGACACACCAGTCCCAAAATTTGCACCAGAGGCCAGGACATCAGCGGCAGCGGGCACAGAAGTGATTTGCATGGGGAGCACGGCTTGTTCTGGATACAGGTCGCGAACAACAAAGCCGCACCCCCCCCCCCAACAAGGGGTGCCTGAGGCAGCTGCTGCTTCAACGGCTGCCGAAGAGGGCGATAGCCCGGTGGCACGGGCATGCCTTGAAAGGCATCAGCCACCAACATAAAAGGAGCATCGGCTGCCCCAGTCTGCTCCACACAGCCATGCAAGACCTGAACCCCAGGACCAGGTACACTGGGCAGCAGCAGGAACAGGTGCAGGTGAAAAAGTGCTGGGGACAAGAGGGGCAGCATTCGGAGTTGCATCGTCACTACACCCTGTCCCACCACCAGCAGAAGCATCAGCACCAGGAGCTCCAGAAGGGGTAGGTCCTGTAGAAGACGACGGTACCTAAGACAGGTCAGGAGGCGGCGGCACCGTCGGTGTCCGCCACTCAGGCGCGCCAGGTGGCAAACCATCGCCATCCATGCTGTTCAAGTCCGTAGCAGAAACATCCCAGGGAGCAGGGCCAGCGAAGGGGTCGTCGGCTCCCACATTTCCGCCAGACCTCAGAGCAGAGTCCGGGTCAGGGTCTGCAGCAACAGAGGCACCACCAGTCACAGCAAGCCCAGAATCTGCACTACCAAGAGGATGCTGAAGGGGCTCGCCAGAAGGCTCATTATCATCAGGGGCAGTGACCTCAGAAGCAGGCTGAGCAAAAGACCCTCCAGGTCGAGCAGATCCACTGACCCAGCACCAGGTATTGCAGCAGGTACAAAAGCGCAGGCACCGGAGGGGAGGTCAAACTCACTGCTGCCGTCAGACTGGTACCCATAGCGCATCGTCTGCATCGCTTCGCGAGAGAAGCAATGGATCCGCCTCAGTTCAGACTCAGGCAGGGCCTGAAGAGCAGCCTCCAACAGGTCGTCATCAGCAGCGATGACGGCACGAAGGCGACGGACCACAGAAGTCAAAGGTGCAATGCTCATGGCCAGAGGCAGACAGGCAGACAACAGAACCAGGGCAACCCAGCAACAGGACAACAAACGAAAATGTAGGCTTAAGCCAAAATGGCCGCGAGTTCACAATAGAGCTTCGTGTTAGCACACTAACAAACAAAATCCTGGTCCGGGTTTCCGGCGGGCGAGACCCCAGAATCGAACATCACACGGCAGGCATCCAACAAGCGGAAGACTCCTCCACAGAACTGTGTGCCTTCGCTGGCGGCTGCTTGGCTGAGGAGTCCTCCTTGGTCTTCATTTGACACAACTTTGCACAGCCACAGCCGCCGCTTGCTGCATGTGCAAGGCATCAAGTTTGAGCTTGCGGCTGCAAAAACCGGCGGCGGTGCCTTCGTGGCCGGCTGCTTTGCCGGCGGGCTGGCCGGCTTTGCCGGCAGCAGGCCCTCCTTCAAACTCACTGGACTCAGGCTCAGTGGACGAAACGACGTTGGAGATCTCGGGGGAGCGACGGAACAAGGAGCTCGAACATGGCTTGCACATTCGCGCATAGAACAGGTCTTGCCAGGCATCCTAATGCTCGAAGTCCGGTCCGGTTCCTGTTGAGTCACGGCAGCCTACCATTACCCCTAAGCCCAATGGCTCCTTCACGTCTGGCTCGTCTGAAAAGGTAACCTCCGGAGGCGAAGATTGGGAAGGTGCTTGCTGCTCATGCCAGGATGTCATGCACAAGGTGGGCAAGAGCACCTTCGGTGCTGAACGCTGTGCTGAGGATTCTGCCGTCGGCGGACTCTCATCCTGAGGCCGGTACACTCTTGATTTTCGAACGTGGTTTGAGCTCCATTCGTTTGGCTTCGATGTCTGCACACTCTACACAGCCTGTAGCTACAGCTTTATGCTCTGCTTCTGACTTTAGCAGCTTGAAGGTGTGCGCTGGTGTTCCTGGCTTCGCGGGCGGGATTGTAGGAGCCCCACTGCGGGACAAGAATGCTCTACAGGCTGACTGTCGGTTCGGTCTCGGATCTTCTTTATTCAATATTCTAGGCAACCATTTCAGTGCCAGCAGCAGAAAAAAGCACGTTGACCCTTCCATTCAGGCATGTGACCACCAGGTGCGGTGGCGGGGCCTTTGCCCCCGGCTGCTTCACCGGTGGGCTTCTGGACGCCAATGACGGCTCCTTCGGTGGTTATGGCTGCAACGTGCCGCAAATGTCAACTGTCACCGCAAACATCACGAATGTCAACATGGAACACGATAGACAACGCAGAATATCCCGCAACGGTTCGATTGATCTTAGGATTTAGATACTTGTAAATCCCTCACGAAAGCCCAGGAGTTCATGACATGCCCTTATGCTCCCATTGGCAGTCTCTACAAATCTTTGTCTTTAACGGCCGACATTGGGGAAAGAAAAGGAGCACGGCGAGCATGAACAAACATGCAGCATGATAGCTCTGCTAGGAACATCGATCAACTGCATACATTCGCGCAGGTGACGGTCATAAATACCCTACAAAATGGCTGTGTGTGCCCTAACTTGCCCTTCGAAGATGTGTCGGGATCTCCAGAACCAACAACTTGCGATGTTTGCTTGTCCGTGACTGTAATATGTCATAAGATTGCATTAGTCACTTCACTAGTCTGATGCTCTCTCATACGCCGTCCATGATTGATGATACTACATGTTGATTCGATTTCTCTGTCACGAACTATAGGTGCCCTTCCCTAGGGGAAACGGTGAGGCCTGGTACATCGCTTAAGAGGAGAACCATCTTTACGGATCTTACTGGGATGGAAGACTTGGCAGCTGCAGCGTTGGGCGATCGGGGCTACAGACGCTGAAGTTCAGGCCTGAAGCGAAGCTTTTTGAAGTCTAACTCGCTTACAGGGGCAGAAATGCTCAAGGTTGCGGAGAACCCCAGCTTCAACGTCCTGCGCTTGGAAAGAGCTGGGCTGGTTTTCCAAAGGATCCTCGGACTCGGAATTCCCAGGGCGGCTTCGATGCAGGCAGACTGCAATGTGCATGATGAAGGAAGTCGGCTATGGCGATAATGCTTCGTGCTCATCTTGCCATGCCTATGACCGTGATGACAGTAAGCACAACCATGACTAAAGCTGCTGTGATGCTTCTGTCATTCGTTCGCTTCCTTCTCCGCTTTCCTACCTTGATTTGTCGTAACCCACCATCCCTTCCTTCCTCATGGATTTTTCCTGTTCGTATATTGTTCTTCGCTTGTTTGGGCATGCCTTTTCTGGCTATGGCTGTCGTTTGAGATTTCCAACCCCGTCGATCTTTGGGCAGGTCCTTCGTGCCACCAGCAGTGCTACTTCGTCTGGCCCACCCTCCGCATTGTAGAACAGACACCACTGGGTGTTCACGTAGGAGTTGCTGAGCTTCGGGGGCCATAAGTTCTGCATGGGAACTTCTCCCGTGGAGACATGGGATTGCGGGCTTTGGGCAACGATAGCTCAAAAATTTGGAACTCTTGTGACATCTGCATAGTAACGGTAGTGACGGTAGTGTTGCGAAGTAGTCTCAAGCTGTTCGACAAGTCATCGCGAAAAAAAGAGCTGCGTTCCGATTCGGAACACTAGCGTCCTCAAGAAAGGGCGGCGGCGCCGCCTTTGTGGCTGGCTTCGACGGGGCCGGATCGGCTTTCTCCTGTGACAAAGCTCCAAGAAGTCTGTCCCAGGGCTAAGCAAAGCAGTGGCGGCCTCCGAAAGAAGACCCAGCTGAGGCTTGGAGTCTGTCAGCCTCCTAACGTGTGGGGAAATATATGGAAAAATCGATGAAACAAACCTGCAACTGAAACATCTGGATTTGATTCGGAAGTCTCCAAATGCTTCCATGCCAATGGAATTATCATGGAGGCAGCGATAGACAGTCAGCTTACAGCGCACAGCTGCACAGAAACATTCCGAAAATCCGGCCACGGCAACCCTTGAGCCTGAAACTTGGAGCCAAACTGCCCTGTGCCACGAGGCATGCCCCTAGAAGAGGTAGCGTTGTATAATGCATTAAACTGCGTTTGGGACACCGAATGATCGAACCCTAAACACCCAGAACCCCTTTGCGCAAGGCAGTGGATTCGGATCCACGAATCCTCGAAGCCTTCTTCTGAAACCCTGATGCAGACTTCCTTCCGGAGGGCTATATACACACTGCTTGGCATCCCCAACCTGACGAAGGCGTGATGATTACAGTCACAGAAGCAATAACATCCGCACAACTGCCATCCGCTTCGCCACCAGGACTGGTACTTGGAGTCGAGTTCGCCTAAACAAAACCTTCTCGTGCTCATCAAAGTTGAACTTGCACCCCTTATTGTACGAGAATTTAAAGGGGGCAGCATCACAGTGGGCCCTTCAGAATTCAACTCGCGGCAGAGGGGCATTAATCTTCTCACGCGGTTGAGCCCCGTCCTCGAAAAGAGGCGGCGGCGCCTTTACTGATGGTTGCTTCACTGCTGGAGCTGCTGCCGACTCCTCAGCATCAACACAAGCAATTCAAGACTGAAGTGAGACGACACCAATAACGCGTCTCTGTCGGCCCAAACGAGGATAGTCGTCCGGTGGCAGCGTGGCACCACGTCAGATTATAAACACATTGACGTCGAAATCTTCCTCTTCAAGCAGATCCACGGGACACAGACACGGGGCCTTTGCCACCGGATGGCTTGCTTCCGGCGATGTGTCCTCCTCAAGTCTTTCAGAATGAATAGTATTGCAGCCTCAAACCTCGACTCTGTTGTCCCAAATTACAAACCCTTTCCGTCGCTATCAAACCTTCACCAGCTGCCCTCAAATGGACCGTCACGCCTCCGACCTGGAATGCTAAAGCGTTCAGGTGTTTTTGGATTACCTCAGGTTGAGCTGAGCTTAAGACACAGGAGGCTTTGAGTAGCTTAACTTCGAGGCTCAACGGTACATGCCGTATGCCATTCGCTGATTTGGGGCGAGACAGTAAACTGAAGCTTATCCGTCACTCAACCCTAGCACCGCCCGCAAGCTCCTGAGGCTCTACCACCAGAGGTGGTGGCGGTGCCTTCGAGAAAGTTTGCGGGGGAGCGCTGGGCAGCGAAGTGCCTGCTGTCGACACTGGAGGAAGCAGGGATTGCATGACATTCAGGGTGTGAAGGGATGGCCGAGAGTTTTACAAGTGCTCTGTACTAGCTTCGGGTTTTGAGGATCATGGGCACGAAGCTACGCAAGATATTTCATAGATACCGGTTGGCTGGAAGTGACAAGACGCAGGAAGGCCGACTGTGTGGACCCTCTCTTCGGGTTCAGCTAGGTATATCTCTATATATCTATACACACGCGGAGAGGCTTCACGACTTGCTTGTGACATGGACAAGTTGAAGCATGAGACCCGCGAAGATAGCTGACATGCACATCTAGGTTTTGTTGGGCGTATGAGTTGAGCATGTGAGATATGAAGTAGCCCATAGAATTATGTTACATCGCGCGGGCTTGGCACATGGGTCCAGGTTTTTTTTGGGTATTTTTTTTGGTTTT